GTCAGTGGCTAGAGTCTGTTAATTTTATGAATTAATATCTTGAGATTCTTCCTTCTGTTTTCTCTTCTGTCTGTTAATGTCTAGGTTCTGGCTCTCAGATTTATTTCTTTATTTACTTTTCATACGTTTGATTTATGTTTTTCCCCTCTGTCCCTGGGCTGGAGTGCAGTGGTGTGATCTCAGCTCACTACAGCCTCAACTTCCCAGGCTTAAGTGATCATTGCACCTGAGCTCCTGAGTTGCTGGAATCACAGGCGTGTATGACCATGCCTGGCTAATTTTTAAAACTTTTTATAGAGACAGGGTTTTCCTGTGTTGCTTTGAACTCCTGAGCTCAAGTTATCCTCCTTCCTTGACCTCCCAAAGTGCTAGGATTACAGGCATGAGTCACCATGCTTGACCCTGGTTCTCTTGCTGCTTGAAATGGGTCCCCACTAATTCCTTCTTAGCTCATCCTGTTAAGTCTGGTTTCATGCTGCCAGTAGTGTGCTCTTTAAAACCAATCTTGATGATATTCATTCCTCGCTTAAAAGTTTTTAATCGTTTCTGGCTGCCCTCTACTGGGTTCCAAAATTCTGGCTCAGTGTACAAAGCCCATGACATTATTTCTTTTAGCTATTTCTTCAGAATTATACCTCGCAATCTCTGAAGTGCACCATCTACTCAGGCCAAACTAAGAAACCTGGAGGTTCCACAAGTGTACCACATACTCCCATAGCTGTGCTTCTGGGTGAAATCATCTGTCTTTTCTTTCTTACTCATTCTTCAAGGCTTATCTCAAATATCATGTCTTTGAGTTTCTTCCCTGACTTGCTCAGGCAATCTTAGGTGCTCCTTCTTTGTATTCTTACAACAGCTTATATATCCCAATTTTCTATCTGACATGGACTTTCAGATTTTAAAATAAAAGTTGCTTTAATTAAATAAATATCTCCTCAGCAGTCAATCCTCTTTAGCATTCAACTTTCAGAATTCCAGCCAAGGTAAAGGCCAAGAACATACTATAATACTTAATCCTCTCAAGTTGAAATATTTATTATTATTGTTATTTAAATTATACTTTAGGTTCTGGGATACATGTACAGATCATGCAGGATTGTTGCATAGGTCCATACATGGCAAGGGGATTAGCTGCTTCCATCCCCCCATCACCTATATCTGGCATTTCTCCCCACGTTATCCCTCCCCACCCTGCCCACCCTACACTGTCTCTTCCCTAGCCCCCCACAACTGACTGCAGTATGTGATGCTCCCCTCACTGTGTCCACATGTTGTCACAGTTCAGCACCCCCCATAAGTGAGAATATGCGGTGTTTGGTTTTCTGTTCTTGTGTCAGTTTGCTGAGAATGATGGTTTCCAGATTCATCCATGTTCCTATGAAGGACACAAACTCATCATTTTTTGTGGCTGCATAGTATTCCACGGTGTATATGTGCAACATTTTCTTTATCCAGTCTATCATTGATGGACATTTGGGTTGGTTCCAAATCTTTGCTATTGTAAACAGTGCTGCAGTCAACACGTGTACGTGTGTCTTTATAATAGAAGGATTTATAATCATTTGTGTATATACCCAGTAAGGGGATTACTGGGTCAAATGGGATTTCTATTTCTAGGTCCTTGATGAATCGTCACACTGTCTTCCACAATGGTTGAACTGATTTACACTCTCACCAACTGTGTAAAAGTGTTCCTATTTCTCCACATCCTCTTCAGTATCTATTGTCTCCAGATTTTTTAATGATCGCTATTCTAACTGGTGTGAGATGGTACCTCAATGTGGTTTTGATTTGCATTTCTCTAATGACCAGTGATGATGAGCATTTTTTCATGTTTTTTGGTGGCATAAATGTCTTCCTTTAAAAAGTGTCTGTTCATATCCTTCACTGACTTTTGGATGTTTTTTTTTTTCTTGTAAATCTGCTTTAGTTCTTTGTGGATTCTGGATATTAGCCGTTTGTCAGATGGATAGCTTGTGAATTTTTTTTCCCATTCTGTTGGTTGCCAGTTCACTCTAATGATTGCTTCTTTTGCTGTGCAGAAGCACTTAAGTTTAATTAGATCTCATTTGTTTATTTTGGCTTTTCTTGCCAATGCTTTTGGTGTTTTAGTCATGAAGTCCTTGCCTATGCCTGTGTCCTGAATGGTGTTGCCTAGGTGTTCTTCTAGGGTTTTTATGGTGTTAGGTCTTAGGTTTAAATCTTTAATCCATCTGGAGTTAATTTTTGTATAAGATGTAAGGAAGGGATCCAGTTTTAGCTTTCTGCACATGGCTAGCCAGTTTTCCCAACACCGTTTTTTAAAAAGGGAAGCCTTTCCTCATTGCTTGTTTTTGTCAAATTTGTCAAAGATCAGATGGTTATAAATGTATGGCATTAATTCCAAGGCCTCTGTTTTGTTTCATTGGTCTATGTCTGTGTTTCGGTACCAGTACCATGGGGTTTTGATTACTGTAGCCTTGTAGTATAGTTTGAAGTCAGGTAGCGTGATGCTTCTAGCTTCGTTCTTTTTGCTTAGGGTTTTCTTGGCTATGTGGGCTTTTTTTTTTTTTTTTGATTCCATAAGAAGTTTAAGGTTGTTTTTTCCAGTTCTGTGAAGAAGGTCAATGGTAGCTTGATGTGGATAGCATTGAATTTATAAATTACTTTGGGCAGTATGGCCATTTTCACAATATTGATTCTTCCTAACCATGAGCATGGAATGTTTTCACATCTGTTTGTGTCCTCTCTTATTTCCTTGATTAGTGGTTTGTAGTTCTCCTTGAAGAGGTTCTTCTCATCCTTTGTTAGTTGTATTCCTAGGTATTTTATTCTCAATGTAGCAGTTGTGAATGGGAGTTCACTCATGATTTGGCTCTCCGTTTGTTTGTTCTTAGTATATAGGAATGCTTGAGATTTTTACACATTGATTTTTGTATCCCGAGCATTTGCTGAAGTTGCTTTTCATCTTAAGGAGATTTTGGGCTGAGATGATGGGGTCATCTAAATATACAATCATGTGATCTGCAAATAGAGACAATTTGACTTCCTCTTTTCCTATTTGAATACCTTTTATTTCTTTTTCTTGCCTGATTGCTCTCACTAGAACATCCAATACTATGTTGAATAGGAATGGTGAGAGAGGGCACCCCTTGTATGGTGCCAATTTTCAAAGGGAATGCTACCCATTTTTGCCCATTCAGTATGATATTGTCTGTGGGTTTGTCATAGCTAGCTTTTATTATTTCGAGATACGTTTGGTGGATACCTAGTTTATTGAGAGTTTTTAGCATAAAGGGCTGTACGCATGATTCTTGTACCCCAACTCATTCTGCTTAGTTAGGTCTTTCTTGTCAGCACTTCATTCATTTTTTGCCATTTTTTCTACACATGCTTACTGAGTACTGCAAATGTGCACAGTACTCTGCCAACCGTAAGGGAAACACCGTGAGCAAAACCAGACCCACAGACCTTACATAACGGTGGGAAAAACAGACAAACAGCATCAGACAAATAGATTTATGTATTGTAATTCTGATCATCCTTACCAAGGGTAGCTATATAGTGCTCTTTAGATTTGTAAAACCAACATGTAACTTTGCTGTAAAGATTAGGGAGAACAGAGATTTGATATAAGAGTAGGTGTGTCTATCATAAGATGATGTCAAGCCCAGGCCCTGTGGCAGGCATAAGCCACGTAGCAGGAGGATGTGCAAGGTATTTGTGGAGCTAATGGAAGTCAGGCTGAAGAAAGCAGAGAAAAGCATGGAACAGTAAGTGTCTAGAGAGCCGGATCAGCTGGATCCAGCTAGCTTTTGTAGGTCTTGTTAAGGATATATGTTAAGAGCATTAAGTTTATTTAAAAGCCAATGAAATAGAGGAAAACTCACATTATAGTTGCATTTCAGAGCCTTCATCTGGCTACACTGAAGTGAAACTATTTCAGACGCTTTCCTACATTCTTGTAGAAAGGGATGCGAGTTGGACTTGTGATGGTAGCTGGCTGTAGAAATGAGGCTAAGCAGATTAATTTGAGAACTTGTCGGGAGGCATTTGGGAAGGACTAGAGGATGGAAAGGGGAGGCTGGTTTCTACTTTTCCTTATTCACTGACCTTGAAACACTAGATGACGGCAGCTCTTGGGACTCTATTCAGTAAGGCTGTTGCATTTGAGAAATATTTGATAAATTTACATATTTACTCTATATAATCAGCAATAAAATAGGAATGTTATAAACTATGAAACATCATTCCTGCTTTTGAGATTATAATCTTGTTGAAAAAAAAATAAGGTACAGACACAGAAAGTATTTAAGTGACATAGACACACAGGGCTTCATTTATTACGTAATATGTAAGGTCTAGAATGAAGCCCCTCACTCAATATCCGTTTCCATTTAGTAGTATATTTAATTATTTAAACTCAGGTACTTAGCATTTCATCTTTGAGGTCTATTAAAATATAAATTATTGTCGATAAATTAATTTATTAATAAAAACTCTGGGGAAGTGTATATATTTTTATTAGGAACATATAAAAGTCTACATAAAGGATAGTCTTATTATATATTTGAATATGAATGTTCATTAGCATATAACATGTGTTTTGTCGAATTGTTGACTGATCTTTGTTAAAAGGAGAATCCAAGGAGCCATGCCATTATTTGTAATACTCGGGAAGCCAATCAATACTTTTCTAACACATTCTTCTGTAGAAATACGCACATGCATGATATGAACAGACAATGTAAGGGGTTCTGAAAGGACTCGTGGATAAGGGATTTGAGGAACAGACAGGATTTGCACAGGCAAGAGAATTTTCTGAGTGGAGACTTAAAAGGATTCAGGAATTGGAAAGTGTAGTCAAGGTGGACACCAGAAAGATTGTTAGTAAATAGGGAAGGAAGGGCAGGCCCATGTTACACAGTGTTTAAATAGTAATGGTTAAGCTGGCACTTTTGAAATAAGCAATTAACTGTTTTCAAGTGATATATGAAGATACTTTGTCAATTCTTCTGCAGGCTCCCGTCTTCGTCAGGAAGATTTTCCACCTCGCATTGTTGAACACCCTTCAGACCTGATTGTCTCAAAAGGAGAACCTGCAACTTTGAACTGCAAAGCTGAAGGCCGCCCCACACCCACTATTGAATGGTACAAAGGGGGAGAGAGAGTAGAGACAGACAAAGATGAGCCTCGCTCACACCGAATGTTGCTGCCAAGTGGATCTCTATTTTTCTTACGTATAGTACATGGAAGAAAAAGTAGACCTGATGAGGGAATCTATGTCTGCGTAGCAAGGAATTACCTTGGAGAGGCTGTGAGCCACAATGCATCGCTGGAAGTAGCCAGTAAGTAAACTGGGTTCTTTATGTTTGGCAGAGGGAGTGGCAGGGTGGCATCGTTTGTCTGGATCATGGCAATGAAAAGTCGAATCTCTAGCTTTCTATATGAATACAATCTACTGTGTATTTTGTATCCTAGCTTGTTTTTCAAGCCAAATTGGGATTTACACAGAGTTGATTAATGATTTGACTTTTGATTGGGAGCTATTTTCTGTTGGAAAATTTCATTAAAATTGTTTTCTCCCCTCCTTTGTTGCTTTTAAATATGTTGAATAGAGACTCATGCGCTGCCTATGGTCTCAGCTGCTTGAGATGCTGAGGCAAGTGAATTGCTTGAGCCCAGGAGTTCTGGGCTGTAGTGCTTTATGCCCATTGGGTGTCTACACTAAGTTTGGCATCAGTTGATGGTTCCATTTATTTACGCTAGCACCAAATGCAGCTCATTTGGAATTACCCCAAGAAGGATTCATTGACTAATCATTAAATGGTTTTATCTATAGGCTAGATTTGTATTGCATTTGAATAAGAGTTGGGCTTCTTTTATTTTCTACCTACATTCCAGGAGTATCCAAAATGATTCATTCCTTTGAAAGGATCCTGCTGTATATACTATGACAAAAATTGAGAATTTCATAAGGATTGGAGAGACAAATGAAATTTAGATGAAATTCACTTTATATATAATTTTCTATAAAACTATATACATTTAACTATATATATAGTTATATTTGATGTTTTTCCAAGATAATCGATACATTAATATAATTTAATGTTGAAAATTTTAATTATATAGTTTTCATAGTCTCCAAAATTGTCTTCAACATTCAACTATAACTTAAAAAAGTATAAAAGTATACATTTATATAATTATAAAATTTAAATGTGGAAAGGAATTTAGAGACAGATTATTCCAACTCAATCATTTTATTAATGTGAAATCAGCCGTCGAGAATGTAAATGATTTGATCACCCTCACAGAGCCTCATATTACTTGAGACAGAATGCCAAAAATGTTTGATATGAGCATAAAATATAATTAGAAACAATAAAAATGTAAGTAACCATTTTAAATACTGTTAAAACTAGCTGTTCATATTTTTAAAATATTTCCTTGAAATTTTACAATCCAGTTTATATTTGCCTATTCACAGTTAACTAACAATGAACTTACTGCCTTTCTCTTATTGTCCTGATTCTCAGTAAAGGTCTCACAACTAAATCAGTGAGGTGAATGACAATTATCATCACAACAGAAGGCTAGTTTGCTTTTTTTTTTTTTTTTTTTTTTTATTATTTTAAGGCCGACTTGAAATGTAACCCAAGCAAAATAAGTTTAAATGTTTGACGTATTTATAAACAAATGTGTAGTCCTTCCTTGGTATTCTTGGGTGATTGTTTACAGGACCACGGTATATACGAATATCCATAGACGCTCAAGTTCCTTATATATGACATAGTATTTACACATAACCTATGCATACCCATCCCCATATACTTACAAGCATGTCTGGATTACTTACAATAGCTCATATAATAATTGTTGCTATACTGTATCGTTAGGGAATAATCACAAGGGAAAAAAGCCCATACATATTCAGTATAAATGCATCATTTATTTTCCTCTAATATTTTCCATCTGTGGTTGATTGTTTCCACAGTTACGGAGCTCATGGATACAGAAGACCAACTGTGTATTTTGATAAAGTCATATTCCAAAATTATGGTGTTAGCATCTTTGTAACTTTTGACACATTTATGTTTAAGAATAATTGTTCTATGTAGAGATAAATCTAAGTTATCTGAAAACAAATTTAGAGAATCAAAAAGATGATATAGATGACTTAAGGCAGCTCTTATTTTGGTAGACAAGAGCCTGAAGACCAGAGGGTAAAATAGTGACTGTTTGTTCTCAGGAATTATAATAGCTTGTAAGTGAAGTATTTACCAACGTTAATGTTTTTAAATATTGAAAATCAGCTTTTTTTTTCTGTATTATTTCCTACTTTACCTGGATTTTTATTATTGTCAGAATTATTTTAAAGTTATAGACTTGAATAAAAGGACTAAATGCTTACTTTCTAGATTTTCCTTTTCAAAAACCTTTAGTTTTATCCCTACATGATAAAGATAACTTTAATGCAGTAGGATATAGAGGGCTGTCTTTTCTAATGTGGCTTTTGTGTAGATATTTTAAAGATACTATTAGTTGCCAGTTAAGTTCTCTTTCTTAGCTAGACGTTCCATTACCTTGAAAGGCCATTATGGGAAAAGCTTTCTAGTCTTAGTCAACAAATATGCAATCGTGGAACTGAAACCAGTCTTAAGATCATTATATCACTTTTACCAGAAAAATAATCAAATACAGAGCCTCTTAATGTGTGGTTCATAAATTTTAGGATGATGTTCATCATTATGTCTCCAAAATGTTTTCAAGCTCCAGAGAAAAAGAACATTATAATTTACGGAAAAGAAATTAATATATGTACGTTAAAATACTTTAAGATAATATTCACCAACAATTAGCATACTTTTAAATGGAGAAATATATAGATAATAAATATTTATCATATACAGTTTGATATTAATAAAGATAGTTTTGTAACAAGGATTCTTATTAGTGATAATGAATATTTGAAACCCTGGGCCAGGTGAGGTAGCTTACGCCTGTAAATTCCAGCACTTTGGGAGGCTGAGGTGGGCAGGTCACCTGAGGTCAAGAGTTTGAGATTAGTCTGGCCAACATGTGAAACACCGCCTCTACTAAAAATGCAAAAATTAGCTGGGTGTGGTGGCACATGCCTGTAATCCCAGCTAGTTGGGAGGCTGAGGCAGGAGAATTGCTTGAACACAGGAGGTGGAGGTTGCTGTGAGCCGAGATCACACTACTGCACTCCGGCCTGAGCGACAGAGCGAGACTCTGTCTCAAGAAAAACAAAAAACAAAGAAGGAGAACAACAACAAAACCCTGGAAAACATTCAGTATTGTTTTCTTTGAATAATTTTTATACTAGTTTAATTGCCGTTATTAAGAGCATGTTTTCAGCTGGATGTGGTGGCTTATGCCTGTAACACTTTGGGAGCCTGAGGTGAAAAATCACTTGAGGCCAGGACTTTGAGATGAGCTTGGGAAACACAGCAAGACCCCATTTCTGCAATAAAAAAAAAAAAAAAAAAAATTAGCTAGTCATGGTGGTGCACACCTGTAGCCCCGGCTATTCTGGAGGCTGACACAGGAGGATTTCATGGGTGCAGGAGACTGAGGCAGCAGTGAGCCATGATTGCATTCCTGCACTCCAGCCTAAGTGACAGAGTGAAAACTTGTCTCAAAAAAAATTAAAAATAAATAAATAAATAAAAATAAAAATATAAAAGCATATTTTCATTTGGATACATTGTATGATTTAGATACATTAAGTTCACTGGAAAAATTAAATACAGTTAAAAAGGTTTGGTATGTTTACAAAGTTTAGAAACTATTATTTAGGAAAACCATGGTTCAATGCACTACAGATAGATATGTAGTAATTTCATTCACTGTATTTCAGTTATTTATTTTAGGCAATGGGTACTGCTGATTCACCATATTTAAAATGTTTGAGTCCTAAAGCCAAAACTAGTTTTTTGTATGTTACAGAAACAGGTTAAAGGTAAGGAGGAAGCATGGGCTTTATTTGCTGTAAGTTCATCTTGTAAAGTATTGTTATACCTTGGGTTTTATTTTTTTCTGAAAAATATTACTGCTTAAAAAAGCATTTGTTCAATATAGGTTCCAGAAGTTTAATAAGAACTATTCTGACTTTCCCCAAGGCTCAGACACAGGAAGACAAAGATTGTATCTAATTGCTTAGTGAAACTATCGCCCCAAGTAAAAACATTAGCAAAAAGTATCTTGAGGCAACACAGCCTTCATAGCGCAGTTGTTGGTAATGCTTTTTAAAAAACATTTATATGTGTTTTATTTGCCTTTAAACCAAGTTTTACAGCTGTAACAACAACTGCATTTCTCCATTCCTAACAATTGTCAATCTCTCAAACACTGAAAAAAATTGATACAGAATGCCATTTAAAACCTTTATTTCAGTATAGAAATAATATATTTGTCTATTGTGCCTTTAATATTTATTTAAGTTGAAATAATGCACCAAAGTTATTCTATTTATCAGTTATTTGGGAGATGGTTTATTTTTATTTTCATTTACGTCCCAGTTATAACAACCGTAGACCTTAGTGCAGATATTGGTTAATGTTTTGGTGCTGTTCTTTGCTGTATAGTAAAAACTGTAAACTTTTTGAGAAAACAGTTTTGATGCAGTTTAAAGTTATCTCACACAATTATAAAGTCAAAAAATTGGAATGCTGAGAAATGTATAGTAATTTTTATTTCTAACACTTTCACTTGTAATTATTTGAAGTTTGATTTTATAAAAGAAAACAATGTTTATGCACAAATGTGGTTTTAAAATTTATTTTTCATTGATTATTTTTCTTTGCAAACCAATGATCACGTTGATGAAAATATGAAATTAATTTAGAATACTTTGCTGTTTTTAAGACATAAAAACTCACTATTTGTCTAATTCATTTTCAAACTCAACTTTCTAAGGTCTTATGAGCAGTATTTTCTTGCTTATTTTGGATTAGCTCTATTAAAGGTTTGTTAGGAAAATATTTTATGGGTCTATTCTCCTATACCCAATATCACCAATGATTAAACTCAGAACTTCATGTTATGTCTGTCACAAATTGATAGCACAGTTCTTTGACACAACTTATATTTAATAAGTAATTTGATCTTTGTTAATTACATTGAAGCTTAAAGAAAGCTAATTTGAACCTTGACCCTCATGGTTTGCATTGTAGAACATGGCTCTCTACCTCATCTGCTAAGCAGTTTGCAGTCAGCATATGGCTGTTTGTTTCTATTTAAGCTGTTTTCTCCTAGGAAGAGAAATTCTCTCCAGACTAGTCAGACATCTGCTGGCTATCTTAGAAGCAAAACCATAGGA